AACACTAAATAAATAAGCCCATTAGCATCGAAAACACTCAAGCATTAAAACTAAGTGCAGTCGAATCCCTTGCCTTCCCAGAGGCAAGCAGGCGACGCAAGAAAAGCACTGCGCCCTCGCTGACAACGCCATCGTGTGGCAGGAACGCGCTTTTGTGCCAGCCTTCAGAGGCCAGTGGTCATCACACATCCTATTCTAGACAGCCTAACGATGCTCCTACTACTAGACATATGGGCATCACTCAGACTTACGAACGCGTATGGCGCTGCTTGTTCTGGCCTGCTCTCGATCGCTCTGTGGGTCACTAAGCCACTTCTTGTGACCTCTGTCAGCAGCGGAAAATGCCTACTTTGCCTCCTGCTGGTTTACTTCAGCCAATTGAGGTCCCAACAAAACTGTTCTTCCATGTGAGCCTCGACCTACTTAGCCCCTTCCCTATTTCTACCAGAAAGAACAGGTGGTTTGTCGTCGCAACAGATTATGCAACAAGAAACACCATTGCACAAGCAATACCGACCAGCTGTGCTACAGATGTTGCAGACTTTCTACTCCAAGACCTCATCCTGCTTTGCGGTGCCTCTTGACAGTTACTAATGGATCGTGGCCGTTGCTTTTTGTCGAAGGCCGTCGATGACCTGCTCCACTCCTGCGCTACTGAACACAAGATCGCTATCGCTATCCCGTACTACCCTGAAGTGAATGGGCTCACCGAGCGACTGAACCACACTACAACTGACATGCTTGCCATGTACATTTATGATGATCAGCATGACTGGGAGGCTTCGAGCCATCTGGTGCCTGCACAGCTCGTGCCGTCATCCAGGATGTTATATGTGATCGAAATCATCGTGCTGCCATCTTGTTCTCACCAGGTCATATTAGGGTGGGATTTTCTCTCTACACATCGTGGGATGATCAATTGCGCTCCCGCTGTCAAATTATGACAGGTAGATTGCCACTATCCCTCAAGAGGAAGGTATATAACAGCTGTATCTTGCCGGTACTTAGCTACGGAGCAGAAACCTGGAGACTTACAAAGAGGGTTCAGCTTAAATTGAGGACGACGCAGCGAGCAATGGAAAGAAAAATGGTAGGTGTAACCTTAAGAGACAAGAAGAGAGCAGAGTGGATTAGGGAACAAACGGGGGTTAAGGATATCATAGCTGAAATCAAGAAGAAGAAATGGACATGGGCAGGGCATGTAGCGCGTAGACAGGATAACCGCTGGTCATTAAGGGTAACTGACTGGATTCCCAGAGAAGGGAAGCGGGTTAGGGGGAGACAGAAGGTTAGGTGGGCAGATGAGATTAAGAAGTTTGCTGGTATAAATTGGAAGCAGCAAGCACAGGACCGGGTTAACTGGCGGAACATGGGAGAGGCCTTTGTCCTGCAGTGGACGTAGTCAGGCTGATGATGATGATGAACTCGTGTTGTTCCCATTTTCGACAGACGTCATCAATGACAAGGACACATGTCGCGAAATCACAGTTTGTGACGACACCATTGCGCCTGTCCAGTCTACTGTTCCTGTCTCTATCTCTTATGACTCTGAAGACGGTGGCTCAATGCTTTTCGCACTGTCTACACTTCTAGTTCGCTGCCGATCACTGCCATAGCCATTTGCCATTCTCGAGTTCCGTTCAGGCACCTCTATGATGCAAATCACCAATCTATCACCTGAGCCAATCACTTTGCGCCCCCGGGAAACCCTCAGCAAAGCCGAGCCGTTGTCGTCATCTTCGATATTCGACACCATGGACGACCCCAGTGATATGGCCACCCTCGAGACATCAACTCCTTGGCCACTACCGCGATTTTTCACACCAGCTATAGACAGCGACCTTACGATGACAAAACAAGACCAACTTCTTTGCTTGCTCGACGATATCTCTTCTTCTTTTGACTACCAAGGAAGGGCACTCGGCGACACAATGACTGTTTCGCATACTATTGACACCGGAAGCCATGCGCCCATTCGACAGCGTTCCTACCGAGTATTGGCGAGTGAAAGGCGTCTTATCGATGACCAGGTGAATGACATGCTTAAACGTGGAATCATTCAACCTTCCAACAGTTCTTGGGCATCACCTGTCGTCCTTGTTCAGAAGAAAGATGGCACAATACGATTTTGCGTCGATTATCGCTGGCTTAACAAGATTACCCGAAACGATGTTTACTCGTTGCCAGGAATTGATGACGCACTCGACTACTTGCAAGGAGCGGAGTTCTTTTCTTTCTTGGATCTCCGCTCTGGCTACTGGCAAGTGCCCATGGCTGAGACTGACCGCAAGAAAACTGCGTTTATAACACCAGATGGATTGTACGAATTCACTTTAATGCCATTTGGTCTCTGTAACAACGCCCGCCACCTTTGAAGGCATGATGGACGGCATCTTACGGGGCTTGAGCTGGCCCGCTTGCTTCTGCTATTTAGATGATATTGTCGTCTTTGCGCCACATTTCCCGACCCATCTACAACGGTTGCATCAAGTTTTGACCTGTGTCCGAAATGCCGGTCTCCAGCTTAACTCAAAGGAGTGCCTAATCACCGCTAAAAAACTAACTATACCAGGCCACGTCGTCTCCAAAAAAGGCATTCTTCCTGATCCTGCTAAACTTCGTGCCGTATCAGAGTTCCCGAAGCCTACTAACCTGAAAGCACTGCACACCTTCATTGGCCTATGCTCTTACTTTCAGCGCTTTGTTCGAAATTTTTCTACTGTCATCGCACCTCTCAATGCACTCCTCCAAGGCGACAAGGAACTATCTACCTGGTCAGAAGCTTGTGACGATGTGTTTACGACACTTCGACGCCCTGCTTACGTTGCCACGAATTTTGCGTCAATTCGCTCCGAGCGCACGCTCGAAAATTCACACTGATGCTAGTGGTGTCGGCCTTGGTGCTGTGCTCGCACAACGTTACTATGCCAACGCCGAATACGTGTGTTTGCATATGCCAGTTGTGCACTCACAAAACCTGAGACCAATTACACCTTAACCAAAAAAGAGTGCCTGGCCATCATATAGGCTCTACAAAAGTGTCACCCCTATCATTACGGTCGTCCTTTCGATGCCGTAACAGATCACCAAATTCTGTGTTGGTTTTCAAACCTCAAGAACCCTGCAGGTCGCCTCGCTCGGTGGGCCCTCCGACTCCAGGAATACGACATTCATGTCGTATATCGTTCTGGCCAAAAACACTCTGATGCTGACGCCCTGTCACGCTTCCCACTGATTTCAGACGCCAACGCATCTAGTAACAATCACTATATTTCGCCACTTGACATCTTGGACATGGCCTCAGAGCAACAATATTACCCATGGGTCACCACAATTCTAAACTTTTTGTCATGCCCTCTTACCACCCCAGCTCCACGAGCGCTACGCCGCCGTAGCATTACGCTATCCGCAATGGTCTTTTATACCGTCGTAACTCTCACAACGATGGCGGCACATGGTTATTTGTAGTTTCCCACCATCTTCGTCACGATCTGTGCTCCGCTTTCTACAATGACCCTCAATGTGGCCACAGTGGCGTATTCAAGACGTACATGCGCCTTCACCTATGCTATTATTAGCGCGGAATGTACAGCTTCGTCAGCAAATACGTTCGCTCATGCCTCGCCTGCCAACGACGCAAACCAGTCTTGCACCTTACCACAGCACCTCACCAGCCGCTTCCCTGCCCCGACCACCCATTTGTTTGCGTCGGCATTGACTTGTACGGGCCTCTCCCATGCACTGGCGCTGGAAACTACTGGATTGTCGTCGCCGTGGATCACTTGACAAGATACGCCGAAACCGCTGCATTATCTGCCGCAACAGCCAAAGACGTTTCGTCGTTTATTCTATGCAGCTTAGTTCTCCGCCATGGCGCCCCTCAGGAACTGCTCAGTGATCGCGGCTGTGTATTTCTCTCAGACATGTTGCAATCACTCCTACCCAAATGCAGAATTATTCACCATGCCACTACCGCATATCCCCTACAGACAAATGAATTAACGGAACGATTTAACCGAACTCTGGGTGACATGTTGTCGATGTACCTTGCGTCAGACCACTGCAATAGGGATCTTGTTCTTCCGTTTGTCACATTCGCCTACAACATCGCCTCCCAAGCCACCACCCGATTCTCACCATTATTCTTGCTATACGGTCGTGAACACACTAGCACCATTGATATAATTCTACCATATCATCCAGACGTTGACGACTACCAGCCTGTGTCTGTGGTAGAAATGCCGAGAACTGGCCCATTCTTTCACCTACAACCAACAACGTCACCAAAAACAGCGTCACGACTCCGACATCCATCCTGATCTTTTCACCGTCGACTCGCTCACGTGGCTTTGGGTTCCGCCAGTTGCTGCTCCCGGCCTTTCGTCTAAGCTTCTTCCGAAGTATTACAGACCCTACCGCGTGGTTGCGCAGACCTCTCCTGTTAATTATGTGGTTGAACCCGTTATGCCATCTTCTGACCTTTGTCGTCGGGGGCGAGAAACAGTCCACATTAACCGCCTCAAGCCACATTATGACCCTCTCACCTCTCTCTAGGTCGCCAGGATGGCTACCTTTCAATACTGGGGGTTATTGTGAGGAAGAAGATAGACACATATGGAAGCGCATTGCCATCGCCTGGCTCGCTGGACTGTTCGCTCCCTGGCTACGCTTTGCCTGCTGCTGCTGCTATCTTCCCAGTCGCTATGTACTTCAATAAACCCTCGTAACATAGGCGTTATTGCAGTTCCCCTCAGCTCCTTCGTTTGGTTTGAAGGAGAGGGTAGAGGACATATTATGCCTAAGGAAAGCTACAGCTTTGGAGAAGATAAGCCTGCTTGTCAAAATATCAACTACAGCAACACTCTGTGGTTGTAAATATACATGTCCTCCCTTCATTTTCTGTCTTTCTTTTTAGATGAAGCATGGCATTCAACAGAGCAGTGCAAAAAAAGAATCAACAGAGCACAGCCCTGTAAATTGATACATTTCAGAAAGCCCACCTGAGAATGCGAGCACAGCCATCTCCACAGGCGAGGGCCAGTAGGCCTAGTCGACTCCCTTTCTGGTGGCAGCCAGAGGGGCACCAATCCAAGTTAGCCACAAAGCCAAAGTCATGTGCAAGGCACAGGCCCAGTTGTGGTGGTGATATGCCATAAGGACCTCTGTAGACGGAACAAATAAAGAAAAAAAGAAACCATTATGAAGAGCATCAAGCCAGTTCATTGTTCAGAATTTAGAACCACTTTATATCCATAAACTTTCTTATCTCAACATAAAAGTCGAGCACAAAAAATCGATGAGGCACAGGAAAACAAGTAGACAGGATAGAACCCTCACTACCAACTGATTTAATTACGAAAGAATTGTAGGAAAAAAAGCACACACATACCGTACGTCACAACAACGGCTGCAAACATCACAGAGCTTCTCCTATCAATAACTATAGCATATTACGGCATAGCAATTGAAATCTGTACTTCCGCAAACACACACTGACGCCTGGCTGATGCAATCTTCACCTTTGAATTTTATGTAAAACGCCTTCAACAGTCTGCGTGCAACCGTTTCCCTGCCGCGTCCCAGAACCTTTAGTTTGTCAAACAAAAGCACACAGCCACACATTGCAAAGAAAGATGCACGCCCTTATCGTTTGAGGGAATCAACTGGTGCTCCCGGGCACACTGGTTAACACCCCTGCTACTTTGGCAGATGTAAGATTTGGCATAGCTCAATGGCAATTCATATATTACCTCCATTGCACAGCCAATGTGATGTCTAGTGTGCTTGATTCGAAATTTTGTCTTCTGTGTAAACTCATCGGAAATATGCGCACACAGCTTGGACAGCTTGTGAGGTGCTGAAAAGACAATTAGCACATTAAGCCTAATTGCAACTTTCTTGAGGGTATGTTCTACTTTGTGAATATAAGGCATCACCTCATGCCTCATGTTACTCACGCGGGTGTGTCTTTCTTTTTCCCAGCCTTGGCATTTTACTTTTTGTAGCAACGACTCCATGGAAGCCACCAGAATAGTGTCAGAATACACTAACGACAGCAATCGTTGCACCTGCTGATAAAAACTGTCAGTGGCTGCATGAACGTATGAATTCGGGAGGGCGGATTCTAGGCACATGAAAGCAATTGCACGCTTTCATGTGCTTGCAGTAACGGTTAGCAGGAGCGCGTATTATAAGCCCAACATACATGAGAGTGAGACATTGTAAGCTTAACATCTAAAAACTGCAACTGCCCATCTGCTGGAGTATCGTGTGTGAATGATAAACCCTGTCCCAACAAAGTAAAAGATTTCAAAATCTAACGCACATCATCGCTGAAGGCACCAAAATCAACCCCATTCACTCCAATAGCTTCCTGCTTACTAAGAACCACCAAAAAAGTAATCAAGATATCTACACACAACAAGTACCGTGTTATTATTAAACAGAAAACAAGACGTGGAATCAAGCACACTAGACCTTACAATGACTGTGCGGTGGCCGTAGTATATGAATTGCCATTGAGCTGTTGCAAATCATACATCAGCGAAAGTGGCAGGAGTGTTAACCGAGCGGGCCCGGGAGCATGTGTTGACGCTCTCAAATAATAAGGGAGCACAGCTTTAGGCGCACTGTGCAGTGTGTGCCTTTGTATGACGAACTGAAAGCGCTGGGACACAGCCAGGAAACAGTTGCACGCAAACTGTTAGTGGCATTTTACATAAAATTGAAGGGTGAAGAATGCATCAGCCAGACGTCAGTGTGTTTGCAGGAGCTTGAATTTCATGCTATGCCATAATATGCTATAATTCTTTATATGAGCAGCTCTGTGATGTGTGCAGTAGCGGTTGTGATGTACGATATGTGTGTTTTTTTCGTACAATTCTTTCGTAATTAAATCAGTTGGTACTGAGCATTATAACCAGTCTACTTGTTTTCCTGTGCCTCATCCTTTCTTTTTTTTGTGCTCGACTTTTATGCTTTGACATGCACCAAATTGCCCAGCAAGATGTTTTACTAAGTTATATTCCTTATCTCATCTGCCCACATAACTTTCTGTGTTCCCTTACCCGCTTGCCTTCTCCTGGAATCCAGTCTGTGATCCTTAATGACCAGCGGTCATCTTACTTTCGTGCTAAGCGCCCTGCCTATGACCGTTTTTTCTTTATTTCGACTATGATGTCCTCAACACCAGATTGTTCTCTGATACAATCTGCTCTCTTTTTGTCCTTTAGGGCACATATATGTTGATGAGGATAATGATGAGTGGTATTTTATGGCACAAGGGCCAATCGATAACCAAAGAGCGCCATTTCAGTAGACTAGAGATGTGAACAATGATATGATGCGTGGCCGTAAAGGGGCCTTAAACTTCCTCATGCTAACGCGGGTAAAAACATAGAAGCTATAAAAGTACGACAGTGGCATGAAATATCTGCAATGAAAGTGGATGGCGAAATGTCATGATAAAACCAAAGCGGAAATGTAGTCACGGTATCCACGACCATGGTACAGAGGTCGTGCTATGGATCACTTCGAAATATGAGGTGAAAACTATTGACGTCTTTAAAAACATGAAAAGTGATTGAAGTTTAAAAAGCCGATGCCTACCAATGAGCAAAGTAGTAAAAAATGCTTTTTTTAGAGCATCTAACCCATTGCACTGGACGAGAATGTGGGGAACTGTAAGTGGTTCTCCACATCTCTCACACAATGGTAGATCGCAGGAAGACAAAAGGTATGAGTGTGTAGAGTGTGTTCGTCCTCTTTTTAGCCTTGTAAGTGTTACCGTAATTACTCGAATCTAACGAGCACCTTTTTTCCGGTTAAGCGAGTTCATAAATCACATGCGCGTTAGAATCGAGTACGAACAAAAAAATTACGGTCAATCTATTGCCATTCAAAGTTGCCATCTATTGCCATCCAAATCCAAAGTAGCCGCCCCCTACGTGCGTCGGCATGGCGCGTCGGCCATTTAGGCCTATGTGTTTCCCATGTTCGGCACTTCGTACGTGTGCTAAGGAGTTCGTCATCTAATAGTGCATTAGCATCGACGGCGTGGAAGGGTCGACTAAAAAAACTCGAGTGTACCACAATGCCGCTTTTAAAAGAAAAGTCATCGCGTGTGCAGAAACGGACGGAAATCGGGCCGCATCGCGGTCGTTCGGAAGTTCCCGAAACGTGCGTGAGGGACTGGCGGAAACAAAAGCAGAAGATTGTCGACAGCAAAGCTTCACGCAAAGGCTTCAGTGAACCACAGCAGGGTCGGTTTCCGCAATTAAAGAGCTGCTCGGAGAGTATGTGCTTGAGCAGCGAGCGGCACGTGACGACAGAACTGCTCCAAGTGCGGGCTACGCAATTAGTCTTAGAAAAAAGTCTAATGCGGAGTCAGTATAAAGCAAGCAGGTGCTGGCTAACTAACTTTATGAAGAGGAGAGACTTTTCCCTCCGAAGGGGAACATGCATATGCGAAAAGTTTTGCGGAGGAGTACGATGAAAAGCTTCACAGTTTTCAGATGTTCGTCCTAAACTTGCGGCGCAACAACGGCTACCTGCTTGGGCAAATCGGGAATGCCGATCAGACGCCTCTTTACTTCGACATGCCTGGCACCACAACCGTCGAGAAGAAGGGGGCGAAGCAAGTTCGCGTACTGACATCGGTACACGGTAAAACTACAGTGACAGCAATGCTCTGCTACACGTCAGATGGGCACAAGCTTCGCTCGTACCTCATATTTAAATGGAAGACGCTCCCGAAAGGAGTCGTTTTTTCGAGTAGTGTGATCGTGCGGGCCAGCGAGAAAAATGGGTGCGCGTTGCAATCGATGTCTTAAGTTTTTTTTTTTTTTTTCGCGGTGGAGATCGGGTGCGCGTTACAATCGAGGGCGCAGTAGAATCGAAAAAATACGGTACTTCTGCGTGTCGTGATTTTGATAGTGGCAGCCAATTACCTAGTTGGGGCTTAATAGCATGGAGTTTATTGTCTGTGTGTCTATCTCACGAGCTCTGCCAATACCCCCTGAGCTTTCGTTTTAGAAAAGGTTTTAGGTCAAGTGCAGGGATTGGTATTGATGCATTGGGAGTGGTGTCGTTGGCGGAAGCAGCCAGCTTGTCGGCCAAAACGTTCCCTTGTATCTCACGATGCCCAGACAACCAGCACACGACATGCTGTTTTGATGTGTACAGTGTGCACAGAAGTGAGTAAAGTGACACCAGCACAGTGTTTTTGTGTTATCTAGAAGTTTTCAGGGCTTTAACCACACTTAGAGAATCTGTGTATATTACCGCCTTTTGTAATTTTATCTGTTTGATGTGTTTTAGGACGAGCAGTATTGCATAAGCTTCTCCTGTGAAAATGCTTGCATCAGGATGAAGAACGCCGGCCTCGGAAAAGGATTGGCCTACCGCTGCATATGATACAGAAGTGTTGGACTTTAAGGCATCGGTAAATAACTCAGGGCATGTGTATTTATGTCATTGTTCTAGGAAGTATGTATGTATGTGTGCAAGTAGTGCATGCTTTGTCACTTCCACAAAAGAGACATCACGGTCTATAAGCTGCCACTGCCACTGTGGCAGATATGCAGCAGGAGCCATCAAACTGTGTTCGAAAAGAGGCACACCTGATTCTTCGGCCAAGCCCCTTGCACGGAGCGAGTAGGGCTGCCTTAACGAAGGACGGTTCTCGAACAAGCCAGAACAGGACAAATCATTAATTGTGAAATGAGAGGGGTGTTGCTTGTCTGCCTTCACCTTCTGAAAGTATGCAAAAGACGTAACATTTCTGTAGGTGGAGCGACCATTCATTCGAATCCACGTACAGACTCTCCACAGAGCTAGTTCGAAAAGCACCCGTAGATTGGCGAATCCCTAGATGGTGGACAGGGTCGAAAATCTTCAAGGCTGATGATGCCGCAGACTGACAGATTATGGCACCATAATCTAGGCGTGTGCGTTCGAGACTTTTATATAAATTCATCAGACATTTCCTGTCACTACACCACGTATTGCGTGACAACACTTTCAAAATATTCATTGTTTTCAAGCACCTATCTTTTAAATATTTGATGTGTGAGATGAAGGTTAGTTTTGTGTTTAATATTAGTCCAAGAAACTTGTGCTCAGTCTTTACAGACGTTGAGTATAAAAACCATTCTCGTCTGCC